CAGTCCTGGTCAAGGGATCGAACGGGGTGCCTGGGGTGGGGAAATATGCCCAGATTGTGGGCTTGGTCCCCAGTGGGGGAAGTGCAGGAGGCAGCACATCAATGATTCCCTCTCATTATTGATGTTTCTGTTTCTCTCTTCCTTTCCCTTCCTCTATGAAATCAATAAAAACATATTTTAAAAAAAGAGAGTTCCCCAAATGAACAATACAGTAGCCATGAGAATCCCTCAGATCATCTGTAAATATCAATTCCTAAAAGGAACAAGGACTTTTTGAAAAGGTGGCTGATTCTGGGTATAGGCTAGGAAATATACATGAACAATTTTGTCACACAGCACTAGCAGCATGTGGAATAAATATACAGTAAGGATTAGTATTCAGAAAACAGCAGAAAATATACAATAATCTATGCTCTTTTATTTTCCTTTTCTATTGAGGCATATGTAAGCTGGACACATGGGACATAGAGTGGAAGATGCACCAGGAAAAGGTCCCCAGGATGAATATCTTTGCATATTTGTAGGGAAATTGAGGGCGTAGAGACCAATTAGTTGAATATTTAAAAATGGGGTGCCTGGGGTGGGGAAATGGCCTTACTTGACAAGAGTTTGGTGAGAAGAGTTTCTCTGTCAGTGGTGTTGACATATGCTACAGCAGGGCTACTCAAACTTTCATGTGAAAGAATTGCTAGAGGGATTTTGTTAACAATTTTGACTCAGTAGGTTAGGGCTGGGACCCAAGGTTTTTTTTTTGTTTTGTTTTTTTATTGATTTTTTACAGAGAGGAAGAGAGAGGGATAGAGAGTTAGAAACATCGATGATAGAGAAACATCAATCAGCTGCCTCTTGCACACTCCCTACTGAGGATGTGCCCACAACCAAGGTACATGCCCTTGACCAGAATCTAACCTGGGACCTTACAGTCTGCAGGCCGACGCTCTATCCACTGAGTCATACCATACTGAGTCAAGGTTTTGCATGGTGAAAAAGAAGTAGGATTTGTGCACTTCCCTTGAGTTAATTCAGATGTGCTTAGCTAACTTCTTGTTAAGCAATTGAAGAGAAGAGGAGACTAAGTTTCCAGTGCCATGCAAGTTTATTTCTCTTCACACCTATAAGCAAAACCTAAAAATGGTGGCATTCTCCAGGGATAATGAGCAGTCTGGAAAGCAGAGGCCTTGTCATGTAAAAAAAAAATTAAGTTAAATTGATGCCTACAATAACTAGGGAGGCAGACAACCTCCCTCCCTAGCTTATAGCTCTAGTGGAGCTATGTGGAAAGAGCCAATTTGTGGCTACTCCCCTTTTTTCCAGCAAGGTATTACAAGTAAAGTTTAAAGTCACAGTAATAAGGGGTAGAATGTGCAGAAATTCTGGGGCTTTATTAAGTTGAAAAAGCCAACTGCTTATGTATACCCAACTATCAGAAGAAATGACTTAGTTAAGAGATTCCTCATACTCATTAAGACTTTCTGGAACACACACACACACCAGAAAACAAAGATAAGAGTAATAGAGTTTATCGTCTCATTTAAGCCTATTGTTTCAGGTTATTTCAAGGCTACCATTGTTGAAAAGAAGGTGTTAAGCCCTAACTGGTTTGGCTCAGTGGACAAAGTGTTGGCCTGTGGACTGAAAGGTTCCAGGTTCGATTCCAGTCAAGGGCATGTACCTTGGTTATGGGCACATCCCCAGTAGGGGGTGTGCAGGAAGCAACTGATTGATGTTTTTTTCATTGATGTTTCTAGCTCTCTATCCTTCTCCTTTCCTCTATGTAAAAAAAAAAAAATCAATAAAATATACTTAAAAAAGAAGATGTAAAGAATGGGTTAAAAACTACAAAAAAAAAGTTGAGTGTAGAAGCAGAAAATAGAGCGGGTTTCACAACTACTTTTAGAAATAATTTTAGGTGTGATTAAAGGATATTCAGTGAAATTGTGTATACATACACACACACACACACACACACACACACACACACACACACATATATATATATATATATATATATGTTTAATACATTTTTATTGATTTCAGAGAGAGATAAAAACATCAATCATGAGAATCATTGATGGCCTGCCTCTTGCACACGCCCAACTGGGGATTTGTTTAGAAAGGAATAGAGGGGGATAGAGAGAGATAAATTGTTTCATCGACTGCCTCTTGCACACTCTTGCACATCACCCACAGGGGATCAAGCCTGCAACCTGGGCATGTGCCCTACCGGGAATTGATCCAGCGGCCTCTTGGTTCCTGGATTGATGCTCAACCACTGAGCTACGCTGGCTGGGCTGCTGTTCTATTTATTCATGCATTCATTAGTTGAGTCTTGTATGTGCTCTGGTAGGGATCAAGTCTGCAACCTTAGCATATGGGGACAATGCTCTAACTAACTGAGCTAGCCATCCAGGACTGAAATTATATTTTAAAAAGTAAAAACACTGAAAAACCTGGCCTCCAACTGTTCAAGCCCTAAGGCATTCCCTCAATGAGGGAATATCCTCCAACATCCAGTTAATCTGTATTCAGAGAACAAAATTGGCCCACAGAATGTAATACACAATGGAGAGCCTCTGAAAGAACAGAATTAGAGTTTAATCAAGGAACTTTCTCCACTAACAAGGTGGTGGGTGTTCATAATTCCTATCCAGGATTCCACCATTACTATGGACAAGTAATTGTTGTGTTTCCCATTCTTTTTCAGAGGTTTAACTGTGGTTATCCTGTTCCTGCTCCACTGCTGTTTTTTTTATATATATATTTTATTGATTTTTTACAGAGAGGGAAGGAGAGGGATAGAGAGCTAGAAACATCGATGAGAGAGGAACATCGGCCAGCTGCCTCCTGCACATCCCCCACTGGGGATGTGCCTGCAACCAATGTACATGCCCTTGACCAGAATCGAACCTAGGACCTCTCAATCCGCAGGCTGACGCTCTATCCACTGAGCCAAACTGGTTTCGGCTCCACTGCTGTCTTGTATTACATGTATGGGCACAAGCCAGATAATTTGTTTTATAGTTTATGTGTCTTTGGACCATGAAAATCCACAACCTGACCGGACTGAGAACATTGTGTATCATCAGACATTCTGGATTTTGAATTGACCCAGAAATTAAATGGGAGATCTGTTTGGGTATCTCAGGTTAGAGCATCATCTCAATATGCCATGGTTATGGGTTCCATCCCCAGTCAGGGTAGATACAAGTATCAACCAATGAATACATAAGTAAGTGGAACAACAAATAGATGTTTCTCTCTCTCTATCTCTCTTTCATCAATCAATAAACATTTAAAAAATTAAATAGGAAATTAAACTCTATTCTTTAAGAAGAAGGGTACAAAAAAAAAAAAAAAAAGACACACACAGATATTTAGGTGAGAGGGACAGTCTGGTAGACACTACTGATGATCCCTCTAAAACATACTTTCCCTTTTCCTGGGCATAAGTTTGCCCAATTAGAAACAAAATTTCCAGTCTCACTGATGCTAGGCATGATTGTTTGTCAAAATTCTTGCCAATGGAGTGAGATCTAAATTGATGTGGGCAATCTCCATAACACTTTCTTAAAGATTTCCTTATCCTGGTCTTTTCTTTCACCTTGTCAAGAGAGGGAACGTGCTATTTTTCACATATCAAGATGTAAAAATTCAAAAGTCTGACATCTTTTGTAGGCAAAGCTGTAGGAAATTGCACTCCTACATATTTCTGGTAGAAAGGCAAAATCGTCCATATAAAGTTCAATTTGGCAATATCTATAAAAATTGTAAGTAAATCTCCGCTTTGACATTCTTCTTGGAATGTATCCTACCTATACACATATCAAATGATGTATGTACAAGGTTATTCATTGCAGCATTGGTTGATTACAAACAACATAAGTGTTTAGCTATAAGGATTAAATAAACTATGGCATTCCCTCATTTTATGCAATGCTCTCCAAATCTAAAACAAAATGAAGGAGCTCACTGAACTTACATGGAAAGATTTCCAGAAAAAAATGAAAAAAGAAATCAAGAGCGGAAAAATAATATGCTGTTATCTTGTGAAAGCAAGAAATAATAAAAATGCACATTTCTTTAAAAAATATATATTTTATTGATTTTTGTACAGAGAGGAAGGGAGAGAGATAGAGAGTTAGAAACATCAATGAGAGAATCATTGATCAGCTGCCTCTTGCACACCCACTACTGGGGATATGCCCGCAACCAAGATACATGCCCTTGACCGGAATCGAACTCGGGACCTTTCAGTCCCCAAGCCGACGCCCTATCCATTGAGCCAAACAGGTTTTGGCAAAAATGTACATTTCTTTATGTTCAGAAATATATTCTGTAAGGCTATATGAGTAATAAATACAATTACATATAAAGGTAGGATGACTGTATACTTTTGTCTTCCAAATGGTACAGTTTCTAGAGTGAAAGGGCTTGTAATTAATAATTACTCCAGGACAACAGATGGAAAATGGCAATAACCTGGACACACTGGGATGTATGATTAACCTTCAAAAAGAGTACAGAGTACGAGGAGGAATGTGGACATTTTAAATTGCGTTTTACAAAAGTACCTGTCTGCGGTGAATTGGCAATAAAAACAACTGATGCTTTACTACAGATAGTTTAAGAGCTCTCTTAACAAAAAAAAAGATCAACCATAGGCATGAGACACGGAACTTAATGAAAAGGCGATCATTTTGCTACCCGGAACTTACTGGAGTTGCACAAACCACACTCGGAGTTCATCCGCCAATCCGAAGTGGGAGGCTGCGAGTTTGATCCTCGCGAGAAGCGAGGGCGGACCTCAGACTAGCGGAGTGGAGCTTCCCGTCATTCACCCCTGGGGGCGGGCCTAGCGTAGGCTCGCGCGTGCGGCCCTCTAGGCCCACACAGGTGCCACTCGATGGCATCTCGGGTTCCCTCTGGCCGAGCTCTGGAGGACTCTACTCGTTTCCTTTCTGGTGGTGAGGCCCCGCAGCCCGGGCTGAGCTGAGAGAAAGATGGCGGCGGCCGTGCGGCAGGATTTGGCCCAGCTCATGAACTCGAGTGGCTCTCATAAAGACCTGGCGGGCAAGTGAGTATTTCCGAGCGCCCTGGGGGGAGTGGGAGGGGAGGCCACAGACTAGTTCTCCTTGGTGCGGCGGCGGCTATCGGATGTGTGTGTGGTAGTCGCCGGCCGGAGGACCCAGGGGGCGGGCCTGGGGTAGGCTGTGGAGGCAAGGGCTGCAGGCAGCGGGAAGCAGGGAGCCTGTGGGGCCAGAGGCCTGGGGTGACTGTCCACTTGCTCAGCCTTCATCCTTCCTGCCTCACAACTTTCTGGAAAGGCGGTCTGAGGGGCCACTGCTCTCCCGGCCTTGTCAGCTTTCCCTGGTGCCTCTTCCCACAGCTGGCTGGTCTCTCACACCGACTTCTGACCTCTCTTTGGCCCTTTTCTTTCTTTCTTTTTTAATTGTGCTGAATTTATATTTTGGGACCTCGATGCAGAGGTTATTTTTTTATTTTTATTTTTTCCCCAGGGAGATGGTTTCTTTAGGCGGTTGGGGCTTGAGGAGGTATGGCCGCTATCGTGTCGTCCAAAACCTCCTGGAACTTGCATGCTCTGCGGGTCCCTGTGCTTTGGGTCCTCTCTGTCCGCCACCAGCTCTGAAGCAGGGCCCAGGGGCTGATGTCCTCCTGCCTACGTTTGATCTTACCCCAAAGGCCGAGGAGCGATGACGATGTCCTCATGACATGGATCAGGATGTGTTAGAGTGTTAGTGATGTTTGCAAGAGCCTGGATGGTTTGGCAGTTTTGTCCTAATGTCTATTGTGGAGGGCTCAGGTCCACTCCAAGTTAAAACTGTGACATGTTGTGCCTGTCAGCACTGCCGATCATGGGTAGATCTATCTATTGTCCGTTTCTCTCTGTACATTTCACAGGCTGTTCTTGTATGATGCACATGCGCTCTGTTTACAGTATGCTTCTCGAATTGATCCCAAAATTTACATTCTGACAGCTGTAGATCTATGTTAATGGGATACACCTGCTTTTACCTGGACGTCGAGACCCTGTTTTAGATAGGCTGTGCTGCCTTTTCTTTGGTGGTAAATGTAATCTACTTTTATCACTGGGAAATTTTGCTGTGTATCTTGGGCTTTACTTCCAGCGGCAATTTTTCCCCTCAGGTAAATGGAAATGATTAGAGGACTAATTCCTTTTTATTTTTTTATTTTTATTATTTATTTATTTATTTTTAAAAAATATATTTTATTGATTTTGTACAGAGAGGAAGAAGGATAGAGAGTTAGAAACATCGATGAGAGAGAGTCATCGGTCAGCTGCCTCCTGCACACCCCCTACTGGGGATATACCCGCAACCAAGGTACATGCCCCTGACCGGAATCGAACCCGGGCCTTTCAGTCCCCAAGCCGACGCTCTATCCATTGAGCCAAACCGGTTTCGGCAAAAAAAAAAAAAAAAAAAAAAAAAAAAAAAAAAAATATATATATATATATATATATATATATATATATATATATATATATATTATTGATTTTTACAATCAGAAGGAAGAGGGATAGAAAGAAATATTGATGAGAGAGAAACATCCATCAGCTGCCTCCTGCACACCCGCTACTGGGGATGTGTCCACAACCAAGGTATATGCCCTAGACTGGAATCAAACCTGGAGCCCTTCATAGGCTCTATCCACTGAGCCAAACCAGCTAGAGCTAGAGGACTTATTCTTGAGTGGTCAGAATGAGTATGTGTGTGTGTGTGTATCCCTGACACTTAGAAACTGCCATACGATTATTTTTGTTACTATTATTATTAAAGCTGTTCATTCCATATTGATATATTCTGTGAGTTGGAAATAAATTGAATATGTCTTCAGGGCTCAATGCTTTTTGCATGTAATTTTTTTTTTTTTATAGGTTTGGATGAAAGTAAACTAGTTTGTATTTCCCCCCATGCTTGATTTTCCTTATGTTTTGTTGATAAAAATAAGTGTATTAGTTATCAGAAGAGATATAGTTTCATGTATTTGCAGATATCTGAAACAAACATTTACTTTCCTAGTTATGAATTGCAGATAAACAATAGTACCTATATTATTGTGTGCTTCAGTTATTTATTGCTGTGTAACAAACCCAAAACTTAGTGGTGTAAAACAGCTATTATTCAGGATTCTCTGGGTTAACTGGGCAGTTTATCTCGTCTTGTGTGGGCTCACTCATGCTGTTGCAGTTAGATGGCAGCTTAGCTGGGGCTGGTGGACTAAAATGGACACCCATACATCTCTGGCTGTTGGCTGGGTCTCTTTCTCTACATGCTCTCTCATTCAGTGGTTTAGTCGAGGCTTCCTTACAGGATGGAGAGGGTCAGAGTGGAAGCTGGAAAACCTCTTACAGCTATTCTTGAAAGTCTCACAACAACAGTTCTCAAATATTGATCAGAGTAAGTCACAAGACCAGCCCCGATTTATAGGAGTGGGCAAGTTACATTGCAAAGGTGCATGGTCAGAGGGAGGCATAATTCATTGGAGGCAAATACTGTAACAGACCATGGTTCATTGTGAAGTAGAATTGAAATAATATGCTTGATAACTGATAGTCAGTGCTTTTTTTTTTTTTTTTTTTTTTTTTTAGTAGGTATTTAGCATATTTATGAGTGACAGGTGCTTGGACTTAGTTGCTATATACAACAGGCACTCTACACATGCCTATTATATGTTATACAGTTGGCACTCTGTGAACAGGCAGGTATTCTGGGTAAGTTGCTGTATACTACAGGTGCTCAATACATGATTGCTACATACAGGAAATGCTCCATATAGGCTGGCAGTTTACATGTGTGTCTCATACCTGTTTTATGTATGCAGTAGGTGCTCTTCACTTGCTACACACAATAGGTGCTTGATACCTGTTTGTATATAGATTGTGCATACCTGCTATATAGAGGTTCTAAATTTTTGCTTCCCATAAACAGCAGACACTTATACCATCCCTTTGTATACAAGAGGCTTTCAATACACACAATAAAGAGTAGGTGCTAATGCCTACTTGCTATATGCAGGAGGCACTCAATACACTTGATTCTTATCACTGTATGCAGAGCCAGGGCTTTTTGAAGAAATTGTTGGCCTTGCTTGCAGTACATATCTGGTCCTATCCAAGCAAGAATGTGTCAGGCTATTTATCCTATACAATAAAGAGGTAATATGCAAATTGATCATCATTCCAACACACAAGATGGCCACCCCCCATGTGGTCAAAGTTGGCTACTCCCATGTGGATACAAGATGGCCACCACAAGATGGCCAGCAGGGAAGGGTAGTTGTGGATGATCAGGCCATCAGGGGAGGGCATTTAGGGGCAATCGGGCTGGCTGGGGAGCAGTTAGGCCTCTATCAGCTGGTAGGGGAGTGGTTAGGGGGTGATCAGGCTGGCAGGCAGAAATGGTTAGAGGCAATCAGGCAGGCAGGCACGTGAGCGGTTGGGAGCCTGCAGCCCTGGATTGTGAGAGGGGTCCCAGGTTGGAGAGTGTGCAGGCTGGGCTGAAGAACACCTCCCTGCCCCCTTACAAATTTCGTGCACTGGGCCTCTAGTTTTCATAATAAAATAAACAATTTCTCCAGCTACATGCTTTATAAGAGAAACATTCTTGAAATATATCAGTAGTTTTGGGTTTTACATTAGGAGCTAGTAACAAAAGGATTCCATATAAAGGAATGATGGAGAAAATGTCTCCAAAGTATTGATAATGTGTATTCTCACTGATTAAAAGGCTATCTATGCCGAAACCGGTTTGGCTCAGTGGTAGAGCGTCGGTCTGCAGACTGAAAGGTCTCAGGTTCGATTCCGGTCAGGGGCATGTACATTGGTTGCAGGCACATCCCCAGTGGGAGGTGTGCAGGAGGCAGCTGGTCGATGTTTCTCTCTCATCGACGTTTCTAGCTCTCTATCTCTCTCCTTTCCTCTCTGTAAAATATCAATAAAATATATATTTAAAAAAAAAAAAATAAAAATAAAAAAAAATAAAAGGCTATCTATAACTGAGTAGTCATTCAATAATAGTGATTGATTCAATAAAAGCTAGAAAGGTGCAGAGCTTAAACTTGAATCCAAGTTTGCGTATTCTAAAAATCACATTTTAAACCTATCCTTTTGTTGTCAAAACTTCAGTTAAAAATGCTAATCTATAACTGTGAATGAACACAGCAGTTGTAAAATTGACATATTTAGCCATATGAAAAAAATTTTTGCAAATTTCGTGCACTGCCGAAATTTATTACTAGAGGCGTGGTGCAAGAAATTTGTGCACAGTGGGAGGGTCTTTCAACCCACCTGTACCCTCTCCAATCCGGGATCCTGGGGGATGTCTGACTGGGATTGGGCCTAAACTGGCAGTTGGACGTCTCTCTCACAATTCAGGAATCCTGGCTCCTAACCACTTGCCTGCCTGCCTGCCTGATTGCCCCTAACTGCTTCTGCCTGTCAGCGTGATCGCTCTCTAACCGCTCCCCTGCTGGCCTGATTGACATCTAACTGCTCCCCTACTGGCCCGATTGCCCCTAACTGCCCTCCCCTGCCATCCTGGTCGCCTCAAACTGCCCTCTTCTGTCAGCCTGATCACCCCCAACTGCCTTCCCCTGCAGGCCTGGTCCCCCCCAACTGCCCACCCCTGCCAGCCTGATTGCCCACAACTGCCCTCTCTTAGAGGTAAACTTTTAATTAGAATGGACTAGAACTGTCCAACAATGGAGGTCACACACACATACACACACACCCCACTACCACAACCCCCTACTTTAACCCCCATAGGCTATATAACCTTAAAGGTCCCTTGTAACCCAGATTCTTGGCCCTTTATTTCCATATCCAACAGTTTAGTGGTTCCCATCTCAAGAGTGAAGTTCCCTGACTGGCATTTAATGTCTACTCTGTGCCAAGTGCAACTTTACTTATATTTTCAATAATCCTTAAAAAATAATATTATATTAGGTCTAGTAATAATTAATGTCGTTGTCTAATACTTTTTAAAATCGAATTTATTTAAACAATACAACACAATTTAATCAACAATATAGTTG